AGCTCCCTAATGGACGTTAAAAAATCTTGATTAATAATCATTATGACCTGCACTATGTTAGTAATTAGACTGATGTTATGCACCCCAATCGAACACCCAACGTTGTGTGCATTAAGAAAAGGGAAATTTAAAGGATTGATTTTTGTGTTAATAAAGTTTTGCAGATTTCGGTGTTTTAATTAAAAAGAAAACATGGGTATCGGTGATTGGTTATGAGATTCTAAGTTTATTCTATTATTCTCGCAGAATTGCGTCTGTTTAAAATTGTTTTGCTCGTATTACATTCCCTGTTATTTCTTTAAATTCGTTATTACATTCGCTTTACCCGCTCCTTTATTATCGATATAGTATAACTAGAATGTATTAAACATATATGTATACTATATATTGCATTAACTAATGACAACATACACTATTAAAAAAAAACAAAGGGTAAAAGGTTTAATATTTGGAGATGAGTTTGTAGTAATGCATATAACTTTTTCTGTTTGAAATTAAAAACAAAATAACTAAACAAAACCAAATTTTTTAAAAAAACCAGGAAATTTTGGTACATTTACTCTTTTTTTTCGTATATAACTAATACTATACTTCATTTTAGCTTATATTCAATCGAAAGGGGGAAATTTCTTCTAAGTAAAAGTTTTTTAAACTTTAAATTAAAATATCTCAACAACTATTAAACTAAATTTAATAATAATTTTTTTATTTTAATTCTATAAAATTATAAAATTAAAAAAATTTTACTAAATTTAATTTAATAGTTATTTGAGATATTTTAATTTATTAAAATTTAAAAAAAAGTTACTAAAAACTTTTCCCCCTTTTCTATTGAAAAGCTCCCATATACTCTATTTAAAGTGCATATATGATATATATTGGGGAAATTTATTAACTCTAATTCCTGATATTGATAAAATTTATTGCGTTTTAAATAAAAAATATCATGTATAAAACAAAACCACAGTAATAATAGCGTTCTCTATACTAGATCGGTTATTTATAAATACGACTAATAATAATAGTAATAATAGAAGGAAATAAAAATAAATTTGTCAAAATTGAACAAACAAAAATGACAAAGTCATGTTTACGGTAAAAATTCGAAATTGGAATTTTATCTGTTGAGAAAATCTTACCTGATAATTATACAGTTCCTACTTGGATACAGTCCCCTAGTAAAAATAGAAACATACATTTGGAAACAATAAAGGCTTAATTAATATAATCTATTTTATGTGATGAAGAGATATGAAAACTATACAACTAAAGGTCTTGCATTAGACAAAATGCCCAATGTTTTCATGAGATGAATCATAATTAAAAGTTTGCACATTATTAGTAAGTGGTGCTTTATTAAGACAATGGGTTAATTGATAATCAGGTAAAATCATATGCGATGAGGCAGTAATTGGAGCATCAGGAAAAACATCATGGTTAGGCGGGTATAATAAGAAATCTGAAGAGGTGTTAATGTTCATAGGAACAGTATTGACATAGTCATTGATCTGAACATAATCCAAGGTAGTTGTAGGTTTTTCAATCAGATTTGATGACATACCGATCTGGTTATGACCTAACAACACATCAGGCGAAAAAATCGAATTCAAATCAAGCAAAGGAT